CACACACACACACACATACATACATATTGCCCTCGTCCTCGTGCACGCGTCCACACACACACAAACACACACACACACACTTAACCCTGCTCCAGACGACATCGCGCACACACATAACCCTCCTCCGGACGACAATGCGCGCGTGCACACGCACACACACACACACACACACACACAGACACACACACATTACCCTCCTCCACGGGAACGTAAACAAAGCAGCACGTGTCGCATTTTTAACGTGGCTTTGCATGCGATACGAGAATATAGCGAGTTAACCTGATACAGTACACGCGGTTACAAGTAACAAAACACAACTAAATACATTTGCAAGCTAGAGTAAATGAGGCAACAACTTTAATCCCACGTACTTACACTTGAGAAATGGAGGAAGAAACTGATCATGTCCTGACATGTCGATCATTACTCTTTACTGATCCTTCCTTTAACAAACGAAGTATTCTTTGTAGCATGTAGTTTCCAGTTGGCACTTCACTTAGAGCTGTGTTACAAACTACATGGAAGGGCATTTTCAAAAACCCATAATATGGGCTCTTTAACATAAAACATACAAATCTGCAAACTTACAAAAAAAAAAAAGTAAAATTTATTATTCAAAACTTAAAAATGTCTCTGATATTCTTGGTAAATCTTGATTTATCAAGATTGGCTAATGGCAACACAACCATTGCCCAAAAGCTAGCTGTATCATTCATTCATTCATTTATCTTCTGCCGCTTTTCCAGGCCCAGGTCATGGGGACAGCAGTCTTAGGAGAGAACCCCAGACTTCCCTCTCCCCAGACACTTCCTCCAGCTTCTCCAGGGGGATCCTGAGGAGTTCACATAGTCCCTCCAGCGTGTCCTGGGTCTCTCCCGAGGCCTACTCCCGGTGGGACATGCCTGGAACACCTCCCTAGGTAGGCGTCCAGGCATCCGAAACAGATGCCCAAGCCATCTCAGCTGACTTCTCTCATTGTGGAGAAGCAGCGGCTCTAAAGAATTCATGAACGGGAGTGAAGCGATGCAACTGACGTGTGTAGTTCACGTGATAATGACAATATGCCGGCTGTAGTACGTCCATTCATAATACTCACAATCATACTGTATAGAAAGTACTTTTCTAAGTAGTCCATTCAAATTCAAATCTAGTACCTACTTAGTAGTAGCAAATTTAGGATGCAGCCACAGTCATCAATCATCACAATCACCCCGATCACAGTCACCTGAGTTTTGATTAATGCCGCACCTGCACGTCATTTCCAGTCATCACCTTAGCCCCACAAAATATGTAATTCTCCACCGACTCTGCCAGTCCCATAACCCAGCCAGCGCCCTACTCAGATTTGGCGGAGTAGTGCAACTGCTTGACTCTGGTTCAGCAGGCAATTTTAATTCCGGAGCCTTTTGTTGGCAGCTCTGCTGTAAGACGTACTACTTAAAAAAGAGCTATAATATCCAGTCAATCATTGAAAATCCTTAAACCGCCATCCATCGTGACCATCGATCTTTTGGTTCTGGAGGGGTCCACAGCAGATATCATCTTAGGTTGCCCTGGTTGATAAAACTTGGTTTCTCTAATTGTTTCCTGAGTTTCCATTGAAGAAAACTAGTTTCTCTAATTCAATGTCTCTGTGTACCATGTCTGTAGAAAGTCCTGTTAATTAGTGCTCTGAGAAGATTCCCCATTGTTATAGAGTTCCAGGACAACTTGTGCTCCAAGACAGCCACCCAGCTCCCTCCTCATTGGCCATAGAACTGCGCCATTAACCTCATTTAGGGTAAGCCAGTGCCCCACGGAACAATTCCCCTATTCCATTCCTGAGCAAAAGGCCATGAAGAAGTACGTAGAATAGGCCCTTTCACAAGGATACATCCACCCTTCTACATCCCCTGCCACTTCCAGCTTCGTCTTCATGGCCAAGAGGGATAGGGGTTATTCCCTTGCATTGATTATCATGCACTGAACTAGATTAGATGTGATGCCCTATGAACTGACCAGTCACTGTCAGTATTCCAAGATTTTATAAATGAAGTACTTTGTGAGTTTCCTGAACATGACTGTCTTGGTTTATATGATAATATGCTGATCTCGCAATGCCTGGGCATCACATCTAGGAGTCACTTCCATCTTCCAATTGCAGGAGTTAACACTTGCATTCTTGTAATTGTGAACATGACATTCTTGTCATTGTGTCATAGATATTCAAAATTTTGTAAATCGATCCCCTTACCCCTGATCCCCTGCAATGGTAATGTTGAACTGATGTTCAATCATGTTTTCTATAACTATGGTCTTCCAGAAAATATTGTTACAGATCAAGTTCTTTAGTTCATTTCCTGGGTATGGAAAACCTTTGTCAGACACCTAGGTGTGACGTCAGTTTGCCCTTGGGATATGACCTCAAAATTAATAGACAAAAAGATCCAGGAAGGGGGGCAATTCCTGAGAACCTTCTGCCACGGTCATCAGAACTCCTAGAACCAGTTCCTGAGCTGGGCATAGTATGTGCAAAATCATCTTCACCATCATATTCAAAGGGCCGATTTGGTGGATCTCCGACAATCCAACACCCCTGAATACCAAGTCAGTCAGTAGGCTTTTCTACCTCCCTGTTTCCACAGAATCTGGTCCAGCAGAATAACACCCTCCTCCAATCCTCATTGAAGAAGGTTCCATCAGGTTCAAGAAGTGCTGGATTCTAGACAGTATGGGCGAGATTGGAATTTCTGGTCAAATGTTTCCCAGGATCGACATTCTGGACCCGGTTCTACTAGAGGATTTCCATACTGCTAACCCAAAATGCCCTGCCACTAGAGTTTGTGGAAGACCCCCACGCCAAAGGAAAAGGGGCTGGGGGGCGGGGGTAGGGGGGCCAGCTAGGCCAGGTTATTCCCATTCAAATTCACAATTACTACAATCACCCAATTACAGCCAGAGTTTTGATTAACCTCACATTTCCTTTCCAGTCATCACCTCAGCCCCATATATTCCATCATCTCACTCCAATCAGTGTTAAGACCATGAAAGAATGAACCCTCCAAATGGTCAATGTTTTTATTCTGATCTCCAGTTCCGTAACTCTCCTCCCTAGTGTGATCTATCCTGGTTCCCTGTCTGGTTTTCATTGATTCCACTGTGTCTGATTACCTGTGTTCTTGATCTTGCTTCTCAATCCTCCGGTCCATCCAACTCCATCGTATCCTGCCATATCATCCTGTGAATTCCCATTCAAGGTTCTGTTTACACCTGCCATCCTTACAATAAACTGTTCATATACTCTCCATGTGAATTCTGTGACACATGGAGCCCTATCATACACCCGATACAATAAGGTGCAAGATGTGTTTGGCACGATTTATTGCTATTTTCTGACCAGCGCAACTGTGATTTTTTTACGTTTTGCACCATGTTGTTTAAATAGCAAATCCATTTGCACCACATTGTGGACTCATGGGTGTGCCGGTCTGTACAGCATGTGTGTTAAGGCGCAGTGTTGGCGCGTTGCTATTTTGAACAACTGAAATAGAACAACTAAAAGCTGGTCTAAAGTCCAGCTCAGAGCACGTTAGTTGTGCTAACCCTTACACATTGCTTAATACACACAGGATCTACAGCAATACACAAATTTCTTTAATTTAAAAAAAATTTAAAGATTAAAATGTTACAAAATTATTATTGTATATAAATATAAAAACCAGTACCACCATCACTTCACCTCTGGGAGATTTTTTAGTTTATATGTGACCATTTTTTATTTATTACTTATTATCATCTGTATTATTTATTATATGTATATTTTTATTTGCTTTAATTAAAACAAGTTTAGATTTGTCCATCTGTCTGGTTTTGGAGATGTATGCTTCTCTATATGGGACATAGGAAATAAGTGTAAGATGTGGATTTTTACCACATTATTGTTCATTTATTTTTTTGCTGGAAATTAGAACTGAATTTAAAAATAGTTTTGTAACAAATATTTTTGCTTTACCAACGAAATTAAATATGTAGGCTAATGAATTTCAATAGAGCTAATGTTGTTTTACTTGTGTAAATAATAATGTTAAAAATAGTAGACTACAATATGAAAGTTTTTTTCTTTTTTAACAAAGTTTAAATTGTAGAGCAAAAATATAGTTTGAAAGGTAGAATAAATAACTTGAAATGCACTTCTTAAAACTTTGAAAGTATTTATTAGGTCAATGCAACAGCCAACATTCAACAACACTTTTAACATATTCATTTATGTAGGTTATTGCTTCTAGTGATCTAAACATAATGTGCTAAATTGTAAGTTCTATTAATGAACAAAAAAGAGACATGGCTTGTACACAAAATAGTATATACATATATGCATACATTTATAGATGAAACAACCATGGCATATAGACAATATAAATCACAGCATAAACAACACACACATACACACACACACAAACGCACACAAAGTCAGAAGTCAGAATTATTAGCCCCCTTTTGATTTTTTCTTTTTTAAATATTTTCACAGTATGTCTGATTATATTTTCCTTTGGTGAAAGTCTTATTTATTTATTTATTTTTAGGCTAGAATAAAACCAGTTTGACATTTTTTAAATGTCATTTTAAATTCAAAATTATTAGCCCCTTTAAGCTATATTTTTTCCAATATACAATAACTTGCCTAAATACCCTAACCTGCTTAGTTAACCTAGTTAAGCCTTTAAATGTCACTTTAAGCTGTATAGAAGTGTCTTGAAACATAACCAGTAAAATATTATGTGCTGTCATCATGGCAAAAATAAAATAAATCAGTTATTACAAATGAGTTATGAAAAACTATTACGTGTAGAAATATGTTAAAAAATCTTCTCTCCATTAAACAGAAATTGGTGGGAAAAAATTAATGGGGGGCTGATAATATATATATATATACATATATACATACATATAAAATATAAAGCTGAAAAGCACACACAAAAATACATAGATAAAAATTAAACAGAAAACAAAGTTGCGATAAAAAAGGAAAATAATTATCTCTAAACACATAAAAGCTACCCTAAATAAACATATGTTTTAAATGATGATTTAAAAAAAACTCTCGTCAATGCGCTGTGTGCAACTTCATCCTCCACTCATCCCGTTTTCTGTTCAGAGGAACATTTAATTAAACTGGATTAAGACATTCAAACACATAAATTAAATTAAAAGCCTGTTGACTTGACCTCAGTGGCTTATATAACTTGGCTTTATAACTTGTATGGGGTGAAAGTGAATTTCTACTCACTTCTAGTAACAGATGAAACTGAGCATCTCATTACAGTCTCTCATCTCCAACTCTGCTGTTATTTTGTTGAAGGCTCCGCAACGGTACGGCTGTGCTGGGCATGAGGGCAGTAAACCCTGGTATGCAATTTGGGTAAAACCCTTGCTCACCCAGTGCCATTTTCCTGCCAGGAAGCGAAGACCAATCCACACACTGGTTGTCGGCGGATTTATGATCGCTTGTTGCAAAAGTTTCAACATATTGACATCTGTTGCGCTGGCCAAGTCAATGTGATAAGACCTACAAAAGGTTATGGCATCTTCCCAAGTCAAATTCTTTGCCACGAGTATTGGTTTGTAGACGTAATGGCAGAAAAAAGGACGTAAAAATGGACAATAGCCATTATACCACAGAAACCGCGTGGCATATCCACAGTAAAAAGGATTAGGATTGTAAGAATATATCATAGAGAAGTTCAGTGGCTGATTATTCACCCATATCCATTGGCCTTTTTTATCTTCGTACAGACCGATCCAAGCATCAAACAAATCTCCCCCTGCGTCGATCAGCCTCTGGTTTTCCTCCACACTAGTGACGATGGACATGTCGCTGTAGTATGTGTTACAGTATGTATACGCATCACCCCAATTCAGTGGAATCGACACATAAAAGTGTATTCTGTAATCGTCTCCTGTAGTCAGTCCATAAAGGACAAACAGGAAAAGTCCGGAGAGAGTCGGCTTCATCTGTGCTGAGCTGGTTTGGTTTAAGGATGGCTTAGCGCTGAACAGTATATTAACCTTTACTGGGGAGGACCATGCAAATCTTGGTATATAATTATCAACAGCAGTGTCTTCTCTGATATAATGAATTATTTTTAAACAATCTTTTTCAGACTGAACGTTTTCATTTGTTGTGATTGAAATCAGGGTTATAAATACTAAGATGACTAGATTCAAAATATATAAACATGTCTGAAATGTCATGACGCCTTATTTATTGTATCATGAAAAATGATTTTTCATTTTAAATTGGGGAGAAATGCCATCCGACGTTTACAATTTAAAACAAGAATAATTTAATTTTACTCAAACACATAAAGAAAATTACACTTACAAAAAATCATTTCTAGATAAATGGTTGAAATGTATCCTGTATCAGTATAATGTATACATTTTAAGGCTTCAGATTTATTTTTTTAATTATATTTTATTTTAATCCGGGGTCGCCACAGCGGAATGAACCGCCAACTAATCCAGCACGTTTTTACGCAGCGGATGCCCTTCCAGCCACAACCCATCTCTGGCAAAGGCTTAAGATTTATTTAAGGTTAATTAGGAGAATCATTGGACAACAGTGGTTGATTCTGTAGCCAGTGAGGGGAAAATAATCTTAAAGAGGCTAATACTAACCAAAAAAAGGGTTTTTATTTCAGCCAAACTAAAAGAAATTAGACTTTCTTCATAAGAAAAAAAATAGGAAATTCTCTGTTAAACATCCAAAGGGAAACGTTTAAAAATAAATAACTAGGACTATTAATTATGGACTATTAATTTAGCCTTTAACTGTATAAAGTGTCTTTGATATTGTGAATGTGAATTTGTTTAAGCATGGGGAAAATGCAAATAAGGTCCTATTTGATTGAATGTATTCAAGTTAGGCAACAAACAACATTTTAATATGAAAACAATAAACAAATATCTCCTGAAAAGCATTTGAGATAAGCAAGATAAATGCTAAATAATAACAAAGTGTAGTTTTCCACCCTTCAGTATAAAGTGATTTATGTGTTTTTCCTTTAAGGCATTCCCTTAAATAAAAATTATTTAACCCCTTTCTTTTAAAATAATTTGTGGTTCACATTATCTTTACACCGTTACCTAAGTTTGAACCATTTAATTTTTAATGATTGAATGTCAAGTAATAAATACAGTTATTTTTACTATTGCATCCATTCAGTTCATTGTGACTAATGTGTCATGGTTCATTTAAGGTTAACCTAACCCAAAACAAGGGATTTCACATTGTAAACAGCAGTTTAATGATATGTAAAATATCTGTAAATCTGAAAATGAGTCACAAAAACAAATAGCTGTCATTTGCATTTTCCACTTATTTCCCATGCAAAGAAATGTCCCATACCAAATTCTGATTCCAATGAAATGTTTATTATAATATGGTTAGATCTAGAGTGCTTAGCACAAGTAGCACTCCCCATTTTAAAAATGAACAGTTTTATCCATTTCTCGTTGAAAATATGTAATATATTTTGGTGCATTTAAACAAAAACATATTTATTAAAGAGTTTTATTTTTCCTAATAATATTTTGGTCACCGAACATCTTTAGAAAAAGGAACATAATACATTTAAATTAGAGTGAAATATTGCATATAAATTACTAACTCTACACTTTTAATTAAATTCCTTTTTGTCTATTTTCCACATATAAACAAATAAATAACATATAAAATTGGGTGGTTGATTTTTATAAGTTATTTTGTGAGATAAGCTCTAGATTTGACTGCAGTACTGACTAAATTACTGTATATGCACAAATTATATTGTATTGCATCTCATAGAAAAATATAAATAAATTTAAATGATAGATTTGTGAATCTAAAAATAAAATGTGTAAAAATAAGAGGAATCACACAAAATGTATGTTTAAAAGTACATATCAAAGAGCCAGACAGAATCTGCTAAAAATTGTTGCAATTTCTGCAGGGAATTTTGTAATGAATTTAGGGTTATCATAACTAAAAACTTATAAAAACTATATAACTATATACATATATATACATATTTATATATATATATATATATATATATATATATATATATATATATATATATATATATATATATATATATATACATATATATATGGATATCGAGTAATGTATGTATCTGTCATTCTTTTTTACAAAGTTGTCTTCAAAACCAAAAAACTGTAGAGGGTGAAAGAAAGAAATAAATAGCTTTTTTTAAAAATACTATTAATTTGGACATTTTACTTGGTTCACACACTGTATTTAACTATTTTTTTTTTTTTATTAATGCTTAAAAAACAAAGTACAGAACAATACAAATACTGAAAGAAAGAAAGAAAAGAAAAAAGAGTCAGGGGTGTACAAAACACAAAATGTAAATTAGACAAACAAATACTGTTTATGTGTAAGCGAAGCATACATACTAAGAAAGAGCCTTATGGGATCTTGAAGGTTTCAAGTAAAAAATATTTTTATGGCTTTTTTATTAGTGCTTTGCTATATGTTGTTTATGTGATGTTCGGTAACACTTTACAATAAGGTTCATTAGTTAATGCATTTACTAACATGAACTAATCACGAAAAACACATGTACAGCATTTATTAATCATAATTGAACATTTACTAATGCATTATTTACATCCAAGTCCATGCTTGTTAACATTAGTTAATGCACCATGAGTTAACATGAACTAACAATGAACTACTGTAATTTCATTAAATAACGTTAACTAACATGAACAAATACAGTAGTAGATGTATTGTTCATTGTTTGTTCATGTTACGAAATGCATTAAATAACATTAACTAATGAATCTTATTGTAAAGTGTGACCTGATGTTCTAATTATTTTAGTATAGCAGGACAAAATGGTTTTTGGTTAATAAATTTCCATCTGAATATGGTACTTAGTAAATATTAGTAACATAAGCTTCCTTCTCTGTTTTTATTTAGTTTTTTTTTATTTATTTTTATTTTATTTGTGTGTAAAGTTCAAAAATCCTAAAAAAAAAACATAACAAAACATGGTATTCTAAACGAATATTTGGCAATAATTTGTCATTTATGAATTTGGAGATACCATATTTTCTTTAAGAATTGACCATTCCTGGCTGTGAAACAAAATGAACAGTTTTGATCTATATCTAAACTTGGAAAGAAAACCTTGGAAAGGGTAAAAATTATGCAGAATTTTAAATTAGACCTCTTTTTAAAATTTCTTTGTAAAGAAAAAAAAAAATTGTTAGGCAGCGACAAACCTTCTATTTTAAACCTTTGATGGACCCAGATTTTCTGAATATGAGTAACTTTTATAATAGTGAGACAACATAGGGGGATAGCCACAAAGACCATTGCAAATTCTTCATGGGATAGCCAGCTTACAGGAAAATTAAGATGTTATAAAAAGTCTTCATAAGTCAGCCAGCCAGCCACCCAAGCCAAAGACTTTGCTCTCTGCTACCCTGAGGCAGAGCATCACGCAGCATGCAGTCACACACCAGCCGGCTGAAGGAAAGTTTCTTCTCTTAGACTATCAAGCTGATGAACACTAAACTCACCCCACACAGACTCTTCCATAACCCTCACTGCACATCATCAATATGTAGCATGCCCTGCACTTTAATCAATCCATACTTGAAACAATACCGCCTACAACTATGTGGACACCTATTCATTGTACATCACTGTCAATTTTACATTGCCGTTGTATTTGCACTGTCTGTATTTCGCACTGTCTGTATTTTGCAGTCATTTTATTTGCAATATCTGTATTTTGCACTGTCTGGAGCCAGCACCTAAGCTTTTCACTCATCATAGCACACGTGCTGCTGATTATATGTGACAATAAAAATGATTTGATTTGATTTAAACATTGGGAATTCAATACCTGCATGTCCCAGCAAAAAAAAAAAATTATAATAATATTTTTTATTTTTTTAAGAACTAGCTTTTATGTTTGTACAAAATATTACAGTTGTTCCAAAAATATAACTCTTATATGGGGAGAAGTTGTGTTTATAGATTAATGTCCAAGCTAAAGGAGCTGAAAGATTAATTGGAAATCTCTCTGCTTTATAGTCACATTTAGCAAGAACAGAAGACCACCAATCTGACCAAATTTAGCTTTAGAGGCTAAATATTCCAAACTGAGTAATTATTTAGAAATTATCAAACCATTTAATTTTGAAGGTATTATTAAAATAGAGAAATCTAAATAGTCTTGACCACCATCTTTGAATAAATTAACTATTACAGCCTTTTTAATTGAATGCACTCCATTTTATTTAACATATATAGTGAGGAAGTATGCGATTTTGGACGCACCAAATGTGTGGGGTGCAAGTGTTGGGTCCTGACATCATTCTCGCGCGTTTTGATGACGTTTGTGTGTTTCAACAGCTGATTGAAAGAGGTCGCAGTTTAACAAACAGATCACAACAAAATATACATTTCGACGTCTTTGTGGTTTTTAATTTTTTAATTTTTACCGTTGAAAACCAAGACGTTTTCGGAATGACATAATCGGGTGAGTGTCGATGTTGTTGTCATCTCTGAACCTGGAAAGGAAAGTCATTTCTGTTTTTGCTAAGTCAGTGCTATGGCATTTGTGTGTATTTGCTTTGTTTCGATTTCTGACTCTGCACTCTGATCTTGTCGACAGCGACGAATGTAAAGCTAATATTTAGCCTGTAAATAGTTTGTGGTATGGCTTTTTTGCTTTTATTGTGTCGTGCTACTGACGTTAAATGTTATTTAATTCATTCTTATTCTTTGTGTTAGCAAGCTAGCTAGCAGAGTAGTTAGCAGGCAGTTGTAATGACAGCTTCTGATGTGCTTTACTTAGGGTGTTGTTGTTGATTGTGAGCTGTTATTTCTTTGCGAAAAAATCCGTAAAAGGTATATTAACAGAAGAATAAAAGCACATTTGTCTGAATGTATCTTTTGACTGAAAGACAGTATTTGCTTGGTACACACAATTAAATATATTTAGCTGTCAGACTATACTCACCCATATGTAGCTTTGTAGTTATTTGAGGTTAACTTTAATTTGAAAACTTTCAAGCCTCGGCTGGGTCATTTGGCGTTTCTGTGTGGAGTTTGCATGTTCTCCCTGCGTTCGTGTGGGTTTCCTCAGGGTGCTCCGGTTTCCCCCACACTCCAAAAACATGCGGTACAGGTGAATTGGGTAGGCTAAAAATTGTCCGTAGTGTATGTGTGTGAATGAGTGTGTGTGTGGATGTTTCCCAGTGATGGGTTGCGGCTGGAAGGGCATGCGCTGCGTAAAAACCTGCTGGATAAGTTGGCGGTTCATTCCAGTGTGGCGACCCCTGATTAATAAAGGGACTAAGCCGAAAAGAAAATGAATAAATAATAAAATTCACACCCCAAAAAAAAAAAAAAAGTATATATTTCAAAGAAAAATTGCTTACATTAATGTTTAGAAACACTAGAATAAATAAGTAAATAAACAAGTTTTCCATTTTCTTTAAATAATTTATTAATCGTTAAGTACTTTGTTTGTTTATGTATGTGTTCATATAGCAGGTGCCAACACCTTAAAAAAGGATCAAACTGCACCTAAGTGGTAAATGATTCAAATATAGAATACTTATTTCATGATAAAAATGTACAAATAATGCATGCACATTTATTAAGCAATTAATACAATCAAAATTTTACACTAAATAAAAGAAACTGGTTTTTACATAAAAATAAAAATTTATGACAAACTTTTTTTTTTTACTAACTTTAGAGATGCATTAACCAATATCTTATCGCGCAATCTCTTTTTTTTCTTTATGAAAGAGATTGATCAATGAGTTGATAATGCAAAATTGGGACATTTAGACATGACTAGGACCAGACAGAATCTGCAGATATTTTTTGCTATTTCTGGGGAGAATTTTGTAAGAAATCTGCAGATTTATGCGGAATGATTTTATGAGTATCATAACTAAAAAAAAAAAAATGAAATAAAATGAATACATTTTTAATTTTTGTTTAAGGTTTACAATGCAAATCCAATTAGACCCACTTATTTGGTAAACGAAACAAGTCTCTCAAATAATACACCTTCTAAAAGAGGAAAACTATTACTTTACAACCTGTATTGTAATTAAGTCATAATAATATTTTAATATTACTATTATTTTATAATAATAATTAATAATTAATATTTCATAATAATATTAATGAAATTATTTTAATACCTGAATAAGTGTAAATTTAGAAACGTTTACACAAGTAAATACATAAACTCAATGACGGGCTTAAAAACTGCGGATTTCTGCAGAGATCTGCAGAGTGGATGCGCGCGTACTGATCAGCTGTGTTATCGCGCGCGTACTGATCAGCTGTGTTGTCGCGCGCCTACTGAAGGGCGGGACCGAAGGTGTGCGGCGGGGGCACTTTTGATCATTTTGGAAGGGCACTTTCTATCCAAGACTAAAAAGGGCATGTGCACTGCACAGGTTGAGCCCTATGTGTGCACGTGCCTGGACATGACTATTAATTTGATAAACCAATAGTAATACTATACTTCAATTGAATAAAACTATATGTCTACAGTTTCAGGTTGTTCCGCTTACTTTGCCTTTCCTGTGGTGCAATACAGTCCAACCATGGATAAGATTTTGGAGGCGCTGGTCAGTTCCTCCCATCCTCAGAATGTCAAGCGGGCTATCGTGAAAAAAGTGATGGAGGCTGCAGAAAAGGAGGTGACGGAGGAGCAGTGCCAGGCCTTGTACCATCTCACCACCCGCCTTATTCTCCAGGGTGAAGATGTTTTTCAGCGTCAGATTGGTTTCCAAGTGCAAGAAGCATACGCACGCTACCATCGTGATGAGTTTGCCCGCTTCTTCAGCAAGGAATTTGTGCTTGGCCTTCTTCAACAGGGCTATGGCTCTTTGGACCATAGAGACCCTGCAATCTTGGACTTCATTCACAGTTCTCTCAGACTGCTCATCAGCTGCCCGGCTGTGTTGGAACTGGCACCTCTGCTACAGACGGAGGTCCTACGCATCATCTGTGAACGGCCAGAACCAGCGACATGTGCCAAGTTGGCCACCATACTTACAGACTTCTCTCAGTGCATCCCACGAGACAAGGCAGGAGTTCTGTTCTGCCAACAGCTTGTGCGCACCTTTGCATATTTTCACTGTCCTGCCAGTGAAGAGCGGGAGCTGCGGGAATATGTGACCCAGGTGAGCAGGGTGAGCGCACTTCTGCAGGTCATCTGGAAGGCTGAGCCCACCACACTGCTGCCATCACTACAGGAGGTGTTTTCCATTATCTCATCCACAGGTCAGTAAACTCTGTTTGCTTTAAGAGGACATGGTAGATCTGGGGTTGTCTCTGCACAGTAGCATACCGTTTACCAGAACCTTACGCGCACCTTTCAAAAGTTTCATTAGGTCGCAACAATATGGAGCACAACATCGTTGAACTATTTTTAATTTTGACCACCGCGCAAACTAACTTGTCATGTCTTATCTGAGCTGCATTCTCAACTCAAACAGTGATTTTCCTCATCTGTTATGAAAAAATTACAGCACAGCTGATGATGGCCTAGCACAGACCCCCCAGGTGCATGAGCACTGAAGTGCTTTAAAATTGGTAATGGAAGTACCGCTGTCATTGCCTTGGAAGTGGTTATGGGTGTAGACAGGGCAGTAATTTTCAAAAACCCATATGGTCAAAGAGCCTATATAATTGTGTAATTCATGCAATTCCTCTTCATAACAACTCCCTCTTGTTGATATTTTTGTACCAGAGTGAGTACCAGGAAGGACCAGCATGAGCCGGTGTTATTAGTTTCAGCGGTTGTTATCTGGGAATAACATGCATTGGAATGTCAAGACAGACAAGTCAGAATCAAGTAATTCAGACAGCCGTGTAATAATTCCTATTAACATTTATTTAATTGACAAAAATATAAAGAAAATATTTCCAGTCTTTTCAATGACATTCCTAAATGTATTTAAAGTCTAAAATGATCAAATTTTAATTTTTGATGGCTGCAACACCCTCCAAAACAAATGGAAGAGATTGAGAAAAACAAAAGTAAAACGGTCATAGAATATCGAAATGAAACATTTTTGAAACTGTCCTCAATTAACAGGTAAATTGGTATAAGAGTTTCATGATTTAATATTAACGGATCTTAGTTTTAGCAAATAAAACATGATCATCATGTCTTATTATGATGCACCAGAAGTTATGAGAGAATTTTCAAACAAATTAAAAATCATAACTAGTAAAGCAAAATCAAATCTAGGTATGGGATGATAACCGAAAAGATATCCAAAGATGCCGTTTTAAATTGTAAAGAAATCTGTGTTTTTGAAACCAATGAAGACCGCAGAAGTCTATGATTCATTTGAATTATTTAGCCGGACATGTTTACTGTTCCAAAATATTAGAAATGTTTCTCAAAATAAAATTTGTTGTTTAAATAGGAAAAAGTTTTAGTTTTTTGCTCCAACATTTAAAAGGCATATATTTTAAAACAGTAATCACAATATTGTGAAACCGTAATATTTTTATCCAAGGTTATCATATTGTCTGAATCTAATATCGGCCCATGCCTAATCAAATCCATCTTAGGTCTTTCAGCGACCACCAAAAATAATATTGTAAAAAACATTGAAGGAATCCATTGAAGTCTAAATCTGTATAGAGCTAGTCAGAAATGTTCCTGACATTTGAACCCTTGTGTGGCACTAAATGAACAAACTGTCATGTTGTGCTGTTAAAAAAAAAAAAAAACGCATGAGTTCAGCAGTGCATTAGATAATCCCTGTCACAGTTTGTTTCTGCTTTAAGAAATGCAACATGTCCAGGACAGAAATCAACACAGTTTGTTAAAAAGACAGTGAAAATATGTGCCAGGGTCTGAGAAGTCCATATTGTTTCTAGGAATAGCAGACAGTTACTTGTCAGTTTCAAAGACTAAAGGCATCATTCAAACTTTTATGAGGGACAGATGCAAAAACCATCATGTTATGTGGACACAGCAAACCAAACAGTCCAAGTGACTGAAAAATGTGTACAGGCACCAGTGACATAAAGTCAATTGGGAAGAACAAAGATATTTGATGCAATCGAGAGATGATGTCTTTCATGTAAAGTCTATGGTTCTTAAATCAAGTTCCATTCTGCATCTGCTACAACAGTGTGGTTGGGTTGACATGAAGTTAATGTGTTTGACCTGTCCTGTCTGCAGTCCAGATTTGTTATCTATATTAAAAATGTTTGGTTCATAATGAAAAGGAGAATTGGGGAAAAGGCAGAGTCTGGTGTCATGTCAGGTTGGGCAAAGATTTAGCTTGTAAACCTTTAACAAATGGATAAATATTCAAATTTCTTCAAAAATATAAACATTATAATTAAAAGCAATATCAGTGTGACACTATGCTTAACACTGTGTCTGGTAAGTTACTTCAAAAAGCTATTAATTACTAATAATTATTATTGTATTTAAATATTTTTTTCTGATACTGATTACTTTGTTCAAAAGTAATTTTATTGCTTATTAATTATTTGAGTCCAACCAGAACCTTTTTAGGTTTAATTAAAAAACATACAATATGTACACTTCCGGACAAAAGTCTTGTCGCCTATCCAAGTTTTAGGAACAACAAATATTTATTTGACTTTTAGTTGATCATTTGGTATCAGAAGTGGATTAACAGAAAAAAAAATGTACAGTAGAGAATATAAAGTCTTGGTGCAGTAAAAAAAAAAAAAAAAATACTGTTTATGACTCCCATGAGCTTGGAGGACTGCATCCAAACATATCTGCAATGACTCAAATAACTTACTAATAAAGTCCTCTGGAAAGGCAAAGAATGCATTCTTGCCGGACTCCTAGAGTTCATCAAGATTCTTTTAATTCATATTCAGTGCCTCCTCTTTTATCTTACCCCAGACATGCCCAATAATATCCATATCTGGTGACTGGGCTTGCCAATCCTGGAGCACCTTAATCTTCTTTGCTTTCAATAACTTTAATGTGGAGGTTGAAGTATGAGAAGGAGAGCTGTCTTGTTGAAGAATTTACCCTCTCAAGTGGTTTGTAATGTAATGGGCAGTACAAATGTTTTGATACCTCAGGCTGTTGATGTTGCCATCCACTCTCTCGCACACCCCCATACTGAATGTAACCCCAAACCATGATTTTTTTCCTTCACTAAATTGGCTCCCAAACAGTTGGAGCCATCAAAATCCAGATCTGGTAATATATCCAGAAAGCTATTTATTTGGTCATTGTAAACACAGGCATCTTTTCTTTGTATGTTGTCAATTAAATTAAAACTAAAGAGGGGAAAATAAATGTTTTTTTTTTTGTGTAAAAATATCCCAAATTTTTCAGAATTGTTGTAAAATTAGCACGAGTTATTTAAAAGAAATCCTAAATGTGCTACAAACATTAACCTTATGAATGCATAATGTGATCTTTCCTCATACTCTTGTTTACTTTTCAGATCCTTCGTTTGAACCATCTATTGCTCTAGCAAGCCTGGTCCAGCACATCCCTCTGCAAATGATCACAGTCCTCATCAAAAGCCTCACCACTGACCAGAATGTTAAAGATGCAAGTATGACACAAGCACTCTGCAGGTCAGTCTGTGTGTGTGCGCGCGCTATATAAAGCTAATGAATGGTGCTTTTGTGTATGTTTAAAAGACTAAGCCCTTGATCCAGCCACCAATTATGTTGTTGTCTCTGCATCTTGTTTGCTTCAAGTATGTAGTAATTGCATTTATGCAAGTCATTTGGAATGGGTGTAGTGTTTATAGTTTATAGTAGCTTAACAGTTTTTAAATGAGTATAGATTTATTTTGCTGTTGTTTTTCTTCGCAGTTGAATGTTGAGGTCAAAATGTTGCCAGATTTTGTGTGTTCGTGGTGCCGTTGCTGTTATGTAAGGCTTTTATTGCATGTGTTGTGGTCCTGACCCTGTTCTCTCTCCCTCTCTCCCTCTCTCTCTCTCTCTCTCTCTCTCTCAATTCAAGGATGATTGACTGGTTGTCATGGCCTCTAGCTAATCATGTGGACACCTGGGTCATTGCTTTATTAAAAGGACTTGCTGCTGTTCAAAAGTTCACCATCCTCATAGATGTCACACTGCTCAAAATTGAACAGGTTTGTATGTATTAGCAACAAGCCTGCAAAGCAACAACAGTAATGCCAAGAGTAAACATAATGATAAAAAGAATCAAGATATCGGGAGACTAATTTTATCTAAATTCAGCTGATTATCTGAGATTGTTAACATTTATTCCTTTTAAAGCCTACAAGTCTGTGACAGACGTTTCTCTATGTTTATTAGTGTGTGTGTGTGTGTGTGTGTGTGTGTGTTTGTTTGTTTGTTTCCAGGTCTTTAATCGTCTCTGGTATCCCATTGTGAGGCAGGGAGCGCTGGTTGTTCTTTCACATATGCTGCTTAGTTTCCAGCACTCTCCTGAAGCCTTTCACTTAGTAAGGCCACTGTAAACTGCATCTTACCTAAACAAAAACTTCAATTTTTTCATCTTAAAAAGTCCCCCTGTGCCAAAAAGGGAGGCATTTTAATGAATTATTTTTATGCATTGATAAATATCTTTTTTTTTAAATATAGTATCAAATAAGTGACTTGTTCCAAACTTTTTAGCTTCCTTTTTTTTTTGGCTGAACGCAAAATAAAAAAATCTTAAAATATATTGTTGACCAAGTAGTTGATGGTAGCCTTCGACTTTGATTGTATTTTTTTTTTCTTATTATGGAAGTTAGTGGTTCCGATCATCTTTTATTTAAAAACTAAGGTAAAAGCTAAGAATATAAAGGTAAAAATAAAGCAATTTTTTGTGTCCAACATTTTAGTTTTAGACTTTTAAGAAACTGTTGGTTTTACTATCCACTATTTAGTCATTTTAATGTAATGTGTGATGTTATTTATATTATTTGTGTTTTTATACCAGGTGGTTCCTCATATAGTGCCACTTGTGAAGTCTTTAAAGAATGATGGCCTTCCGAACAGTAAAACGTTCTTACTACAATTTGCTGAACTCATTCATTGCATGATGTACCAATATTCCGGATTCCCAGACCTCTACGACAGCATTCTTGAATCCATTAAAGTAAGAATCTCTCATAAATGTATCTAAAACAAAAGGCATTTACTTTATTTGTTCAGATAACCCAGGTCAGTTTACCATTAAGCAGTTATTTTGTACGTGTATGCCATAATTAATTGTACTATTTAATGGAAAGTTTAAACAAATCTGAAACTTTTTTTTTTCCAAAGATGTTGCTTTTGCTCTTCAAGGTTGCAGTTAAAAAAACAGTAGATTGGTGATGTTGTGAAATATAAGAATTTTAAGTGATTGTTTTCTTATAAAATATGTTTTAAAATAAAATGCATTGCATTTTACAAAGCTACATATTATCAATGCATCATAGTCTTTAGTCAAAAAATCATTCTTTTTTTTGTGGAAATCACAAAATATTTTTAATGTGAAGTTCGAAAGAACAGTACTTAATTAAAATAGAATATTTTGTAACATCGTAAATATCTTCACGTTCTAAATAGATTTAATGCTTTCTTGCGTAATATAAATGTGTTGTTTGTTCATTGTACTGAACAGTAGTTTTCAGTAGTTATGATTGTGCTATTCAATTTCAGTATCCATCTCTGCTTCTTTTACAGGAACTGCCTAAACCTAGTGAGGAGAAGATCAAATTTGTTCTGAACCAAAGTGCCTGGACATCTCAGTCAAATTCATTTGCTTCAGGCCTGCTCAAGATCACAGGCAAATCAGAAACAGGGAAGACAGGACTTGTGAATCTGGGCAACACATGCTACATGAACAGCATCCTCCAAATTTTATTTATGGCCACAGAGTACGTTTCAAATCTGTTGCATAGAATCTGATCTTTCACAGCTGGTCTACTGTTATAACCCAACTGTAATGACCTTTTGTGTTAAGTTAACAATGTGTATATAGTTGAAATCAAAATTATTATCCGTCCCGTGACATTTTTATTCTTTTAAAAATATTTCCCCATGTGTTGTTTAACGAACATAATTTTTTAAAAACACAATAGTTTTGATAACACATTTCTAATAACTAATTTATTTGTCTTTCATCGTAAAGTGGTTTGTTCTGTAGACAATGGAAATAAAATAATTCTTAAGGGGGCTAATAATTTTGAACTTAAATTAATAATTTTTTTTATTTATTAAAATATGCTTTTATTAAACTAAAAGTAATAAGACTTTCCCTAGAATAAATCAAATATATAGGAAATACTTTTAAAATGTCCTTGCTCTGTTGATCAGCACTTGGCAAATATCTGAAAAAAGTACAAATTTCACAGGAGGGCTAGTAATTTTGACTCCAACTATATATGTTTTGTCTCGTTCATCTTATTTCTCTAACGGTTTCTCTTTAAAAGTTTCAGGCGACATGTTATGTCTCTGCAATTGAATGGCAGCAACACGCTCATGAAGAAGCTTCAGCTTCTTTTTGCTTTCTTGGCTCACACACAGGTTTGTTTGTCTACAGTTATTTCTCTTGCCATTTAGAAGTTTATCCTCATTCAGCGCAACAGCAAGTGCTTTTTGAGCCTTGAAATCGACTATTAGGAATACCTGCTTGGGATTTATTGTTATTTTATGTGTCCACCAGAGAGCAGCATATTCACCAAGGAGTTTTTTGGATGTTTCTCGACCTACTTGGTTTTCAGCCGGATCCCAGCAAGACTGCTCAGAGTATTTGAGGTTTCTGTTGGACAGGTACATTCAGAAAATACCTATGACCTCCTTTCCAATAATTACAAGAAAGATATCACTTTTTCTGCATTTTCGTGTTTAAGAGTTGTTCTTTTGGAACTTCATTAAAAATTTAGTTTACAATTCAAATATGACATTTCAACTGTTTCAACCAATGATTAGGGTAGTAGGAAAAATCACAAGAATCACATTAAAGGTCCCATGAAATTAAAATAAGAGTTTTAGATGTTAGTAGCAGTATTGTTCATTGTAAGAATGTCTATAGGCTAGCGTGCACCCAAACAGAGACAAAATGTCCATTTATAAGATATAAAACCAAAACAAACACGTAAAGCTTGTAGTTTGTTATTTCCACCAAAATGGATCAACAGTGTCATTCACATCATCTCATACCTTCAAGTTTCTCATTAAATCGTGATCCTCTGGTGTCTGACATGCCCCGCTCCCTTCACATTTGATGCACTTGAGCTCAACCACTCACTGGCAGAGGGATAAAACAAAACGCCGTTGGCTCCTCTTCATATTTCAGTTGAGATTACGTCAAACATGGAATAAAACTGCACATTTCAAGGCACTTCACAGTAGAGCTGTAATCGGACCATAAAAGTTAGGCCAGACAGAATTCGGCTTGAGCCCGAGTACATTATGACTGACAGCTTTATAAAAGCCTGAACCCGTTTACAGCCAGACATTATTTAAACGTGCACATGCACACAACTCTTTTGCCTTTTTAAGGCAAAGGAGAAGCTGAATATTCAAAGAATAATGCCAACATCTGGCTATACACTCTGTCTTGATTGTGCATTTTCGATTTATTTAATATTTAGTTATAATTTGAAAATCCTTTCCTCTCCAAGATTAGTCTGCATGTTTTTGTGGAGGAACATTTTTGAATCCACTGTAGATGGCTTTATTGTGGTCCTGCGCTCGCTGATGGTGCGTCAAGCAGCACTGAACACCCTTTCACTGCTGCTGCTACTGGCCGGGATGCATAGTTCTACTGATCTGGCTAATTTTGCAAGTTTTGGGTAGGATTGTTTGTTCATTTTCCACCAGTCAAGAACATCCTTTTTCTTTTTTATGACAGCAGTTTAAATGTAGCGAGTGACCTTGTTATTTTCCTTGTCAGCTAGCTGTACATTTCCCACTCTGCAAAAAATCGCTCTTTTTGATTTCTCCATCATCATTTGTTTCATCTATGCAGAAATGGGTTTTGATTTTGTAATAAACGATTTGATTACTTTCTCGCACTCATTGAAATGAATCACATGACCATTCATTTACAGTGGAAGCCCGGCTCGACCTTGTCTAAGATTATATAAATTAAGCCTGAATCTGCCCAAACATGTCTCGTTCCTAAATTCGGGCAAACATCTTTAACTCTAGTTCAAAGGAGCTTTAATGTGTTTTCATATTTACAACAGCAGGGGGAGATCAGGCAGTTCTAAACACCCATAAACTTGTGTCTTCCTGTGTGATTTAAAGGTTGCATGAAGAAGAGAAGGCCCTTTCAGCCCTTCAGACGGCCAGCCCAAAACCAGAACCGGCAACCACTTCTCCAGAAACTCTCCACAATGCTGTAAGCCCACCGATCTCTGATGTGCCATCGCACCCAGATCCTGCAGCAGCTCAAGGAGAAACCGGCACTCTAGTGGAGCGCATGTTTGGTGGGAGACTCTCCACAGCAATCCGCTGCCTGCAGTGCCACAGCCTATCAGAGAAAGAGGAGCCATTCACAGACCTCTCTCTTGCCTTCTGCCCCTCCATGTCACAGCCACGGGGTCCCACTAATGAGCACAAAAGCTCCTCTACTCTGGGACCCTGCCAGGGGGCAGTGAATGGAGGCAGTGAAGCCTCCGAGGGCCCCGTCAAAGAAGGTGCAGCAAGCGGGATGGAGAGGCCCATGGTGGAACCAACAATATCTGTGCCAGATTTAGTGGACTATTTTTTGGCTCCAGAAATTTTAGAGAACGAGAACTGCTACTTTTGCGAACGCTGTGCCTCACTGCAGAGGGCTGAGAAGGCTATGCGAGTGGTGGCAGCCCCTGAATATCTCATTCTGACTCTGTTACGCTTCTCTTACGATGCCACCTGCCATGTGCGGCGCAAGATCCTGGACAATGTGGGCATTCCTCTGCACATGTCCCTTCCTTTACATCAACACAGTAGCTCTTCATCTTCAAATGTAGCTGCATCTTCCTCAACCGAGTCTCCAGACAGTTGCGAGAATCTGGCTAAAAAGCTGAAGCCTTCACAGAAAGAGGAAGGAATTGCAGAAAGCAGAATGAAGAGCAAGAAAAATAACAGTGATTTGCAGAAGCTCTCTGTGCCGTATGTGTTGAGTTCTGTTGTGATGCACTCTGGGATGTCTTCCGATAGCGGTCACTACTACTCGTATGGAAGGAACGTGAGTAGCGATGATGGTTGTGTGGCTCACACGAGTCCCAAGAGCCTGGATAATTCTAGCCAATCAGAGAGCTCGACAGCCCCACAGGAGGAAACGGGGCGTGCTGATCCAAAGTCGGCGGACTGGTTCTTGTTTAATGACAGCAGAGTGACTTTTACGAACTTTCAGTCATTGCAAAATGTCACAAGCCGCTTCCCCAAGGATACAGCCTATGTCCTGATCTACAGGAAACAAGAGGTCAGTGGAGAAGCAAGCAATTCAGGGCCGGTTGTAAATGGCGCAAGGCTGAGTGGAGAGCCACCTCTGCAGAAAGAGCTGATGGATGCCATTACCAAAGACAACAAACTCTTCCTACAGGTGAGAGTAACTGTATATTACCAGTGGTCAACAGCCCTCATTATTAATCATTAACAATTATTGGTCACACTTTAGGTTTCGTACAATACAATAAAGTTTCATTAGTTGAGTTATTTACTAACACAAACTAATTATGAACAATCCTTGTACAGCATTTATTAATCATAGTTCAACATTTACTAATGCATTATTAACACGATTGTTAATGCACCATGAGTTAACATAGAGTAACAATGAACAACTGTATTTTCTTTAGCTAACATGAACAAATACTGTAATAAATGTAGTGTTCATAGTAGGTTCATTGTTGTTAGGATTTGCATTAACTAATACAACCTTATTGTAAAGTGTTATATTATTATTATTATAGTGGGTGTAGTTACTTTATGTCGTCCCAACGAAAATCGATTAAGTTAGCTTGATTGTTTTTACAAAATGAAGTGGCTATAAAGGGCACCTATGATGAAATTCATCTTTTTATCAGAACTGTGTGAAGGAATAGTGATTGGGGTCAGTCATATTGGGGTGATATAAACACAATAAGTTTATTTCTTTAAATGTTCTGACGTTAAAATAGGATCCAAATCCCTCCCATTTTGAAGCCCACCACAACATGAAGTAGAAGTGTGGATTCCCCTCCCACCGATTTTATTGACAATCACCTATTAACATGTCTCCGTTGAAACACGTACTCCACAACAAATACATCAAATAATGGTTGGTAAAGTTCTTGCTGTAGTATTTCTTACAAACGTTACGTGAGATCTGCTTCCTTCATGTCTGTCACTGTGCTGTTTATCTGACGCAGCCGAGGCAGAGATTGAGGCACACTTTCAAAGGCATGTGGGAAAGGTGGTTGGGGAGAACTAGCAATAAAGGCACAGGCAACAAAAACAGCCATATTGTGTTTAGAGCCGAAAATACCAATATTCTGAAAGGTATAATACATTGTCTGATGGGTGTTTTGAGCTGAAACTTTACAGACACATTCTAGAGACACAAAAGACTTAAAATAGGTGCCCTTTAAAATAAAACAATTAAGTTGTACTAGAAAATTGAGTTGATTTAGCTCATTTTAAATTAGGAATTTGAACAAGCAGCAAAAATATATTTTTTGGAATGTGTGTGAAATATTTTATTCTTTTTCAAATTTTAGCCAAATAAGGTTTAACAGACCATGATTTTTTTTTCACAGTATTTCATCTTATGTTTTTCTTCTAGTGATGTATTATTATTATTTTTTAAGTTGGCTGTAAAATAAAATTACTGCTTAGGTTAATATCATTAGCCCTGTTAGTTAGTCTTCTAATTATCATAACTTACCTAGTTACGCTTTTAAGTTGCACAAGCTGAAAAACAGTACCTTAAAAACGTCCAGTACTGTCATCATGACCAAGGGAAAATAAATTAGTTACAATTTATATGACTTTTTAAATTTTTTTTTTTAAAGATTTCTCACTAAAACAGCACTTGAAGAATATTTGAAAAATAATTAAAATTTCACAAGAGGGCTAATATATTTGCCTTAAACTAAAACATAGAAATAGAAAATGAACAAACTTAATAACAATTATTTATACAAAAATATCCCTTTTTATTTAATTTTATTTCATTATAATTATTACAATGGTATAAATGATTTTTTGTAGCAATTACTCTAGCCTTCACATGATCCTTCAGAAATCATTCTGATTTATTTAATTCAAGACAAATCTTTCGCAGATGAAAGCAAAAACTGTGATTTTCAGCATTCTTTGATCAATACAAGGGTCAACTAAACAGCAATTTATTTGGAATGTAGTTTTTTGTAAGTACAAAATCTGTACTGCCAGTGTGTCCTTGCTAAAATAAAATAATTTCTTGAGATTCAATAAGATATTAACAGTATTGTCTGCATTTATTATTTTAAATTATTTTTTTAAATGAAGCAGTACTGTAGGTCAATGTTGAAGCAGTACTAGGTCAAAAATGGGCATGCAATGAATTTGTACAGAACACAATGTTTTGGTCATATCCTGGAATCATAAATCATTTTCTAAGCAGATAATGAACTTAAAATTGAAACCAATATTATTGGACCACATTATGCAGTGAACTAATTGCATGATTTATTTTTTTTAAAAGGGAAGTTCTTCAGCTTCTGGTTTGGAGTATTAGAGATAAAACTGTTTTTTTTGGCATTCAATAACATGTCAGTGGATCAACATTATTGTCTTCGTCTTTTATTTTAAAATATGATTAAAATGCGTTTTTCATACATTTTCTATTATCAAGATCTTTTAACTGTCCTGAAATCAAATTTGGTGATAATACTAGGAAATATGAAATTCTTAAAAAGAAAATCTTAGCAAGTAATTTTGCTAAATTCTCCTCAATGTTGGACTCTCCTATTTGTCATTGATCAGTGTTGAATTTGGAGCATAGATTTAACCTTTTGTTTGTTTTTTTTCAGGAGCAGGAGCTTAACGCCAGAACTCGGGCTCTTCAAGCAACCTCTGCATCCTGTTCATTCAGACCCAATGGTTCTGATGACAACGAGCCTCCTGGCAGCTGCGGGCCATCAGGTGGAGGTGGAGGAGGGGGATTTAACACCATCAGCAGACTAGTCTTTTAAAAAGAGTCACAGACGTACCCGCAGAGCACTGGACAGTCCCACTGACAACACCAGACTTAATTTATCCTCACAATCTGGATAAATGTGCCACCTCAGAACAGATATCTTCTTTTTTGGGGGGTTTGCATGCTTTTTCCCTTTACATCCACTTGTTTATCAGTGACGCAGTACTACAGGTCAGAAATGGGCATGCAATAAATTTGTAAAGAACACAATGTTTGGTCATATCCTGGAATCATAAATCATTTTCTAAGCAGATAATGAACTTAAAATTGAAACCAATATTTTTGGACCGTATTATACAGTGAACTAATTGCATGAATTTCTTTTAAATTGGAAGTTCTTCAGCTTCTGGTTTGGAGTATTAGAGATAAGACTGTTTCGTCAATTATTTAATTGCAGTCAAGTTTTATTTAATTCATTCAGGGAAAACTTTTTTGGATTTAACTTTTTAAACATTGAAGCTTTTTTGAGAGTTTTATGTGCCTTTCAATACTTCAGATTTTACAGAGATATTGGACTGGGTATACAAAACACTTTGCTCTTGCTGTACAGTGTAAAAATATATAGTAAAGAATCCTCGTTGAACACTGTCTGCTTTTATAATTTAAAGTACACACATGAATACAATCTCTTGTCATTTACTGGTTAAGACATTTGACGAGACTGTACACAACATTATTTACGTTATAAAAAGCACATGTTCTTGGTTACAAGAAAGAGCAGCATTGCAATAACATGCTGTTACAGTAGGATGCATATTATTTAATGAAAGGGTTAGTATTTAACCGTTTACACCAGGCTTATTTTTATAAACGAACACATAATGTATTAAAAACAAACATGCTTTATATTAGGGCTGCACAATGTACCGTTTCAGCATCGATATCGCAATGTTTTTATTCACAATAGTCACATCGTGAGTATATGCATTGCTCAGTCTGAATTATAAATTATCATTTCGGAATTGCTTTTGGAGACCTGTGGCCATGTGTGGGTTTTTAAAGCATTCAGGCCTAAGAAATTACCATTTGTAACTTTGACAAATTAATAAGGACAGGGTTGTTTATAAAACGAAGACTATGCAGTATTAATTTACATTTGATTATTCAATTTCTGTATAACTAAATGCAGTGTGACTCATTAGAAAACAGTCAAACACTGTTTATTTAATGGGTATCTTTTTCTTTATTGAATTTATCAATGCTTGTAGATTGTTTCTTGTATCTGATGCATGTACTCCCCTACAGAATCACCCCAATCAATTCTTAAATCCCAGTTTTTCCAAATTTCGTCCAAATGGTCATGTAAATAAAATTGTATCCATATCAGATTATATCACAGAAATAAAGAATAAATATTGCAATTTTAGATTTTTCTAATGTGCAGCCCTACTTTAGATCACCTCAATTTATTTTCAAATGTATATATACTGTTTTAATTATGTTATTAGGCCTTTACCTAAATCAACTTAAAAAAATTGAAATAATACAAAAAATGTTAACCTTCTAAAATTAAAAAAAAACACAACAAAACAACACACAACAAAATAAAAAGGTGCAAAGGCTAATAAAATTTTGTTCAAAACCCAAAAACAGCAAAAAAAGTACAATTAAAAAGTAAATTTTTTTTATCTAAAATCAGTTCTAAAAACAGTAAATGCTAGTGTAAAAAGGCTAATTCCAAATACTACCAAGATAAAAAAGAACTACATTTATTTAAGCTTTTATATTTAAATTTATATTTTTAAATAAATTGGAAAAAAGCTTATTTAAAGAGTTTAACAAAAATGAAAACATTAAGATGAAAACACAAAAAATAAAAATAATATGCCAATAATAGCGTAATAATAACTTTAAAATTACCAAAAAGGCAGTGTAATCAAGTTGATGTCTGTTTTTGCTATCAAAGCCGGAGGCCTTTGTAGGCCATACGTTGGCTATCAATCCATGAGTCCACCCCCAACCTCCAGTGTCCTCAGTTTGAACCCTGACACAATGGTCTGTTCTTGAGCCCAAAGTCCTGTTAAAATCAGTATGGCATTAGCTTGGTAACCAAATAGACACTTAAGGCTGTGGTGAAGCACTTACGTAGATCCACATTTTCTTAACTTGACAACTAATAGATGCAAAGTTGTCCTTTTGTGGTTTTCAGAAGAGGGCACCTTTAGTTCTTCAGACTCCCTCAGAGCCATTAGCTTTGTAACATGTGCGCTGCAAAGTCTCTAAGACCATTTGGTAAAATCAATGACTCTCAATTATTCAACGACCTACACATTTCTTTGCTACAATTTAGGCAACTCCCACATACAATTTACTCTGAGACATGGACATTCGGGAGGGGTAAATTTACAAGGTTCAAATCCACATTGTAATGTTAATCTATAATGTTGTTAAACCATTGAGGAAACAATTTAGTGACAACTCAGGTTTTTATTGTAAATTATTACATGGACATTACATTTAAATTATGTTACATTAAGATGTCATTATGATTTCATATTGTCATCATAATGTGAATTTGCCACTTAACCTTGTGTTTGTTTCATAGTGTTTGCCAATTGATGAGTTTTAAATACCTAATTTAAAAAACAAAAGTTTTTAAGTTTACTTTAAAAAGTAATTGGATCTAGCGCAATAATTTCTGCTGAATATAGCTTCTAGGCTCAAATTAAACAAAGTAATCAAATAATGCAGGATTTTTCCCATATATATGGCTTTTGTCTGACCTATATAACTAAGTTATAAATGCATTTCTAAATGCACTCCGTGGTTATTTCATATTTAATTTTTTATTTATTTGCTAATTAAAGATGTTTAAACTATTACGTTCTAAAAGTAAAAACATTTCCTTTTTCTCGATAGGGAAATTAGTTTTTCTTAATCAGTAAATTCCAAGACTCCTCATAGCATTTTTGCTTGGTTCATGGTTTATAACCAGTGGTGGAAAGTGTACTGAAAAATCATACTCCAGTAAAAGTACCATTACTTGCCTAAAATTTGAGTGAATGTAGAATAAAAATATCTGTTTTAATATTACTCAAATGTGAGTAAAAAGTATCCCTTTCAAAAGTATTCAAGAGTAGTAAGTATGCTGATGTAAAGCTGATGCATATACTTGTCATTTGTGAATGTGTGTAAAAGTAACATTCTGTAGTGCATTTAGTTATTGTCCAGCAAGCACACAACATCATAAAACGTTAATATTAGGTTAGATTTAGGCCGTGATGTCAGGTGATTAAAAATTCTAAGTCTAGTCAGCATCTAAGAACAACGTTATTTTGACGTCCAATAACGATGTCAAATGACGCTGATATGGCGTTGGTTAATTTTAGTTTGTGATAAAAAAGTGACCAAAATCCAACGTCGAGCCAGCATCTTAAACCAACATCATATTGATGTTGAATAGTGACATTTATTTGTCAGGTATAACAACCAAAATTCAACATCTGACAGACGTCATAGTGGTAATTTCCACACGTCAAACTGTAGCATCATTAGAGGCTGATTTTAGATTGGACATTGATATCAGCCTGATATAAGGTTCTGACGTCAACCTAATTTTCATTTCCAAACAAAGCGTATTGTGCCCACAACGTTGGGGTACAACGTCAATCTGACGTCTTGTTGACATCATTGACATACATCAGTCTCTGGGTCAATACGTGGAAAGATTATAAACATCTTCTTTTGGACACTTTTAATGCTTCCAAACAGTTTGCTGCAAATGTAAAGCACCCATATCTTGAGGTAGTTCATTATGTTGCCTTTTTTTTTACCTTCTATGTGCGATTTGATTTTATCAAATCCAACTTATGGCCTACAAAGGACTGATTTTTCTAATCCCAATGAACGAGAAAAAAACCAAGTAGTGACTGCAGGTTGAAGGAAAGTAGTTGAGTAAAAGTACCAATATAAGACTAAAAATGTATTCAAGGGAAAGGACAAGCAGACATTTTTAAAACGACTTAGTGGAGTACAATTCCTGGCAAAAAACTATTCAATTACAGTAGTTTGAGTATTTGTAGTTACTTTACAACTGTTTATAACACCCTTTAAAATAATGAGAATATTGTTGCTAGAAATGTTTATGTCCAAAAATATTTATGGAACTTGCTGAAACACAGTGAGTGAACTCTAATGAAATATGTTAAGAAGTAGCTTACAGCTGAAATTATAATTAACATCCTTTTAAAAATACACACAATAAAATGAACAATTTAAATAATACACTAAATACTCCACTGCATTCAAATCAGTTGCTTCCTTAATTTTTTTAAAGTCAAATCAAATTACTTGTACAAGCCTTTTCAAGTTCAATTTCGCAACATCGATGGAAACATGATTAACTTGTTTTAATGTTAAAGTAGCAATAAAAAAATGTCAGTAACACTTTATAATAACTACACACTATGAACTATTTATTAAGCATTAGAAAATAGTGAATTCATTATCTGTTAAGCATTAACTCTACATTAATAAACGTTAGTAAACAGTTTACTAAAGTTACAAATGCTGTATTTGTAGCTTTTTAAGTCAAATGCTTTACTTAGAACCACATTTATAATGTGCTTAATAATTGTACTTTCATACTTTGTTAATGATTTATTTTTCATTACTTAATTTAGTATTTCATTTTTACAAACCAGTTATTTAAGCATAGTTGCTTGTTTTTTAGGATTATTTAGAATGAGTTAGTAAATGATTTATAAACTGTTCAAATTAACATTTATATATCTTATTATTCAGGCATATAGTAATAATTCATTTGTATGTTAATAAATGCTTTATAACTCAACTTCATCCAGTTTTGTGACCTAATCTAAAGTGAGGACTATTTATGCTTTATAAATTCTTAATAAATGACAATTAAAGGCTCCTGTCATTTAGCAATGTTTAAACTTTACAGTGATTTTACTTTTTAGATAAGATTGCAAAGATTATTGTTTATTTGAAACTAAGCATTTTATCATCATTTATAAGAGATTTATAAAGCATAAATAGTCCTCACTTTAGACTAGGTCAGAAAACTGGATGAAGTTGAGTTAATAAAGCATTTGTTAGCATACATAGTAACCATTAATATATACCTGAACAATATCCTTGATTAATATATATACCTTGATTTTAATAGTTTATTAATCATTTACTAACTCATTCTGATCTTAAAAACCATCAACTATTCTTAAATACAATTGGTTTGTAAATAATGCAATACTTCATTAAATATGAAAAATAAATCATTAACAAAGAATGAAAATACATTATTATTAAGCACATTATGAATGTGGTTCTAAGTCAAGAATAGAGCATTTATAGCTGCAGTTATAACCTGCTTACTAACATGTATTAATGTAGAGTAACAGAAAATGAATTCACCATATGTTAATGCTTAATAAATGGTTCATAGTGTGTTGTTATTATAAAGTGTTACCAAAATGTCTTTTTGACTCATTAATGTATTTTAGTGTTAATTATGTGATCTGTGCACCTCCATAAAGTAAAAATTCCATTTTAATCCAAAACCTAAAATCACACGCTTAATGATTGTAGGATAATAATCTAAATCCTTTGCACTGAGTTGAAACTTAGAGCAGTGAGTAGGCACAAAGCTTCAGAGATAACTGAGTGAGGTGTTTAGCATTACAATAACATTCCAAAGATACCAATCCCACAAACGTGAACGTTCTTTACTGAAACTCTTCACTTTTCTATCATTGCCTGCAACCTTGTTCTTTGCTTTTAGATGTTAGTATTATTTTTCTAAAATAATCTTTTTCTGCACTTTAAGCCATACTGTATAAACAAATTCAAGTTTAGTGTAGGCCTATATTTAAATATGTACATCTCCTGGCTATAAATGTAGACTAACGTTAACTGACAACATTGATTTCAAGATATTTGCTTTAAAATGCCATTCGGTTCTTTTGAACAGCTCATTTAAAGATTCGGTTCAAAAACAACATCAGCGAGTCTTTTACGCCATGACGTAATTACGTCATAGTGTGTCAAGAGACTTTGATGTTATTATTTCTTACTTTTTCTCTACGTCTTATAAAGTGTAGATCCGCGATGCTGTTTATTTAGTTTTTTTGTGTTTGTGTGTGTGAGTGACTGATCTGATTGCTTGTTTGTTAATTCAGGCATTTCTTGCCTAAATGTAATTTTCCTTCACGTTATAAATATATTAGCTACATACAGTAGTTTTACCCTTTTTACCATTTATATTTGTAATATCCTCAGTGAAGAAGCTCATCAATCAAGGATGATCAAAGCCGGCTCGGTTCAGAGACTTTTTTAACCATACTGAAGTGATAAATAGATGTATTGAGTGAAATCGGAATTATATATAATTATAGTCTAATCCATTTT